TTGTCGTACTCTGCCCGATCGATATGCTGCTTGAAGGCGAGAGTTCGAATCATTGACTGTAGCGGATCACGGATTACGCGCTTTGGTCCGCACTTGCGTCGATTCGGCTGAACAATGACCAGAGTTTTGTTGTCAAGGTCGGGGATCCGAATGTACTTCGAACCGAGCTGACGATAGATGTATGCTGATGGGGTGGCTAGACCTTGGATCTCATTGAGGTTGTATGTTCTCCCGCGACGGACAACTCCTTCAAGCGGGGCAACACCAGCACCTCTTAACCCACGACTCTGAAGCTTCCTTTTAACCCCTGACCCCACGCCTGTCGTCCTTACCTGATCAACCATGTTATTCATAGTTTGGCGAACCGTGCGCTCGTCTTGTCTATCACTGAATTGATCAACCTCGGTGTAGTTTTTAGCATCGGAGTAGCTTTTAGCCTTGATTTGATAGACAGCCTTGGTCGCTTTCATGGCAGCGGTTGCCGCCTTCAACGCTGATCTTGCGGATTTTGAGTTATTACTCTTACTGTTCGCTTCGCCTCATCGTATTTCCTCTGAGCTTCGCCATACTTTAGGAATGCGGCTTCCGACTCATCGTGGAGTTTTTGCAAAGTGTCATCGCGATATTGAGTACCCTCTGAGGATTTGATTCGAGCTGATGTATCTGTCGATTTTGTATCGTCGAGGATCGCTCGATTCAATAGCTGAAGATTAGCTTCGAGATTGTTTTTCAATGCTGGATCATCATTCTCATAAACGTATCGCTCTATGTCTTCAAACCCGGTCATCAGGCTATTGAAAGTATCCATCCATCTAATGGTTTTCATAAGATCGTTGAAAACCTTGCCAGAAACCGCTTTGTTCTCGTGGTTTCTAATGTAAAATGGTTTTGCTGCGGTAGGCTCACTAAAGTAGTAATTTTGATTAGCTTTCACACCACTTTTGGTATCTACTATTGGTTTCAGTCTAAAGGGAATTCGAACTCCTTCAGATGCTCTTTTGCTGTAGTAGTCCATGAGAATCTTCTTCGCATCGTTATCAGCATTAGTTAGAGAACTATTCATATCTTCATCAATTCCAATCTTAATTCCATGCCGAGCCTCACCATCGCGTGGCTCAAAGGCCTTTGCAA